CTTAATTGAGCTGTAAATTCACCTCATAAACTCTTGCAGATCTTGTGTTTCTTCTACATTTACAACTCCTTAATTGTCTTCTTAATTAATGAAAGCTTCAATGTTCCCAGTCCATTTTTATCAGGTGAGTCTTATGAAACATGTTAACTTGGACTTCACTGGTTTTAATAACGTCCTCTCCTCAGCCTGGTTCTGTGTTTAGGTATTGCTTTATTTGTCCTTATGCTGATAAAAGAAGTGCCAGTGCATATCACAGCACAATCAAACCCAGCCTCATTTAAAGCTGCTTCTTTATCAACAGCTCCTGGACAAGCCAAGAGTGCCTAATCAGGAACAGTAAAGTTAAAAGGCATTATTTTTCATAACATTGAATTCAAATGCAATGTTAGTGTCCAAAAGACTAAAATACTATAAATGAAAGCAGATGTGGGCCTGGGTGCTGCATGATATTCTTTGCTGTTTTCAAACAGAGATGCACCTGGGGATTGGGGGCTCCGGAAGGTGGGCAAAGGGAAGAGAGGAGACTCCTTGCCTCAAGCCAGAGGTACCCTGTGCACCATGGCAATGAGCTGCTGTTTACAGGCTTCCCTATTTTATGTACATTTTAAAAGGGAACATGTCAATTCAAGGGCCCGGGGTGTCCTATCATAACTACTTTATACAATTCCAGTTCTATAGCAGCGTAGCAACATCAGCTCTAGAGGAATTCGGCCAGTGAATCCCACCCATGTATGGAATGTGCTTGTGAGGGAATGTACTGGAGAGAGGGAGTGTTCAAGGACTACTAGCATGTCACTGCTGCTGTATGATCTAGTGCCTCCTGCAACAGTACTTAAATGAAAGAACTTGGCTTTGCAAAAAACTTAAAAAAACCCAAACAAACCCAACCCCAAATGCAGATAACTTTAAGCAGCCTGGAAATGCAGAGTGCCAGCTTCAACACATAGAAGCTGGACATATATCCAGGATGGGGCATGTGGAATTGTCCTGATTTGACTTTTTTGGCCTGTTGTATTAATTATGCTGGAATAAATTATGCTTTTTAGGAAAAAAAGAATCACGCCTAAGAAAATGTTCCCTGTAAATATCTATTTGCAGTACCAATATCCCTTTAGCAGAAAACAGGATTTAAACAAGCTGCATTTTAAACTCTCGGTATCACAGTTAATCCTAAATGCTGTAAACTGTAAACTGTAATGGCCTATTTCTTTATGTCGAGTTGTTCTTTTTCTCCCTATATCCTGTTTTCTGACTGCAAAGCGGCTTATGCTGGTTCATCTACGGTGCTGACATTCAAAAACTTGCATGACTGGCAGCAGTAAAACTTTATTTAACCTCCTTCTCAGTCTAAGAAAGAAATTGCTTTGGCACAGAAACATTTAGTAGCAAAACCAAATGTGATGTATTGTTTCTATTGTTATTTAATTGTTGTTTTCCCCTTGTGTTCAAATGTCTTGAGGAAAGGCTGATGATGATGGCTGACAGCTCACTGCGGGAACTGCTTTTCCTCTGTAAGTGATTATCACGATTGTAATTGACAGCCCGAGGGGACGTACTGCTGGTCAGTATACGTAAAAATATAAGGATTGCTGTTTTGTATAGTTTGGAACTCATAACTGTCCAATCATGCTATCTGGGTGCTGAATTAACAAAGATAATACAGTACTAAAACCATTTTCACTCAGTTTTCCTCTCAAAGGAAAACCCAACCCTCATTTGTTAGACTGCAGGCTTGATGACTGACTTGACATTGTTAAATGAAATCAAATACGTGAACAGTCCTGTTACCACAGTTACAAATCTTTAATACAGAGATGATGTGTTAGCTGCTCTTCTGGCTTCATGAATACATATTTTATTATCATAGTGAAGGTCTAATTACCAAAACAAAAAAGAGAGCTGCACTGAGACTTGGGGGATGTCAGGTGCCTGTCAGCTGTTAGCAGGATGGAATCCATTTGCCCCAGTTCCACATCAAAGAAATAATAATAATAGCAATTTATCCACTTTTAAAAATGTTTGGATTTAAACTGCCTTTTACTGCCTGTACATCATGTCTGTCACACTGGTGGTGGTCTGATATTAGACTCATCATGTTTTATTAAAATGTAGATTTTGCCTATTGCAACATTTTATTATTTGCCTATCTGCTTTCAAAACCACTACTAGTTTGGGTATAACAAATAGTATAAATGGGAAAAGGAAAAAAAATTCATTCTGGATAAGATTCCTTTAATGTAAATATTTGGGGTTGCGGTCAGTCTTTTAAAATCAAAACTCTCCCAGCAAGCTCTAAGTATTGTGAAAATTGTATCGGGTAATTGTCACTTTAGTCAGATTTTGAAAGTGCATTTTTGTGTGAGTGTAAATTGTGTAGTTTTCACCAGCAAAACCTGTGCAGTGCAGAGCAGCCAATACTGCCATTTCTGGTACAATCAGGATCTACCATTCCTCCTGTATTCACCAGTTTCCATTCAATGGTGGAAATATTTTACAATACTTTACAGAAACTGAAGGTCCTGGACTTGGTCAGTACCTTTTCCATTTCTCTGTGTACATGACTGGAGTGTCAGCAGCCTTTCAGACTGTGCACAGTGAGGGATGGGAAATAGCAGAAAAAAATGTCCCCCTTGGCTGGGGCTCCCCCCAATGCAGTTCAGGAGCCTTTCCTGGCCTAGACAGGGAGGAGGAAATCTTTTCCTTTGTTCCTTCTTTCATTTATTTCCTGGCAGCACCTTCAATTTTGCCCCTCAAACCTCACATCCTCTGTCTTTTCTATATTTAAGACAACAACAGCTACTCACAGCTTATCTTTCTCTGCATCTCCCATGACTGCTTGCTGTTACAGGTTTGCTTTCCAGATCACAAATGCTGGAGAAGTGAGTCTTCTGTGGGATCATGTCCACTGGCATAGAAGGCAAACCCAACAGGAACTACTTTTATTTCCTTTAGCAATGCAAACAGTGCCTTTCCTGAGTTTAAATGAGGTTAAACAGATTTTGAGCTGCACAAAGGCTGTTTGCGCTCATGAACAGCCCTGAGTGAACTTCCTCCCGTGCTCCCTCCACAGACTGTAGTGCCTGAGCACTAAGGGAAAAGGAGCTGCTTAGGTGGTGTTATGAGAAAAGATGAAAGCTGCTTTGGTCAACTCAACTCTATGCAGCTACTGGGGACCACTGTATGTGAGAAGCTGATGGACAAACTGATCCTATTTCTGGTGTTGGACACCACAGGATCAGTTGAGGTGCTGCCATTGGGGGCATCAGAAGTTAAGCAGTAGAAAGTAATGCTCTGAGTATGTAGACCTTAAGCAACATACCTAGAAAATGGGGTCACGAATCTACAAATAATGTTTCTTTTCAGGTAAATGTGCTTAAACCTAAAAGACTAAATTACTACAAGCATGGTCACTTTCTCATTTCTCTTGAAATGATTCCAACTTCTTTTCTTAGTGTGTTAGGCGTTTCCCTGCAGCACTGATTAAGTCTGCTCACTGGAGGAAACAAAAAGATACTGAGCATTTCAACCCACTGATCTAACAGAAAAGCACTGGCTGACAGTCATAGCATCAGCGATCCTAGTTAGATAAGAAAAGAAGTGGAACATTATTTGATGTGGGAAAGGCTAATAATTTACTGTGTATTGTGTGCATCATGGCATCTTTTTTTCTGCCACTGCAGGTGAATAGGTATTTTCCTACTGATAAATGCCTGAATGGAAGAGGAAGATATATGCTGCTATCTCTGTTCTCTTTGATAAGACAATGATATTCTCATCTAAGAAATAGCATTCATCTCTATGTCAAAAAGTCATGTTTGCTAAATTTCAGCATGTGAGTCTGAACTCAGCTAAATATAACTGTGCTATGTTCCTGTAAAAAATAAAGGTAGTATCAAATGCTACCATGTATTTCTAATTTTCCAACCATGTCAAAATAATTCTATACCTATTTCTTAAAAGATGTTTAAAACCTATTTCTGGGTGTTTGCTATTAATCCTCTTAGTGGACTCTATGCAGATGTGTGGAAAAATGCTAGTCAGCTTTAGATTAGATTCTTCTGTACCTGAGGAAACTAGCAAAATAAAATCCCCAAATCCTTGTCATATCTGGTGTTTAGGTGAAGTTTAGTGCAAGGCTAGAATAATAATGGGGTTTGGGGGTTTTTTTGGGTGTTTTGTTTGTTTGTTTAGTTTTGCTTGGTTTTTTTGGCTTGGTTTTGTTTATGGAAAATTCAATATTGAAATGGACACCTTATTTTGGGAGGTGGAAGAAAAAGACAAAGAGTATGTAAAGCTACAAAGTCACCTGCACTTACTAATTTCCATTTTCTTTATTAAGGATTCAAATTGAATCCTCAGTCCTGGGTTTCAGGCATGCACCTAATTACTGTGATCAGATTTGTGTGCATTAGATGAAGTACAGTTTCCTTTGTATGTGGACACCAGCAGGTCACTAGGTAAATTTATAGAAAAGGATGCAAAGACCAGTTCACCAACGCTGTTACATCAGGGTGTGAGCCAACTTGCTCCAAGTCCTTTGTTTCCTGAACAATTCAGTATTGTTCTTGTTCCTGTAACTATGAAGTCCACGTAAATATATTTTTCCCCCCCTGGGATGATGTCTTATAAACAAGCTGAATTTTTTTCAAATATCATTTGTTTTCCTTCCACGGTGGGCATGCAGCTTGGAGTTATCACCTGTATGTAACCTGATATTCTGTGACTAAAAGGTAAAAATTAGGCAATTAAATTAATGAATTTAATTAAGGCACGGAGTCGGCATTGATGCTGACGGAGATGGAAAGAGTAAATGCCACAAAGAGTAAATGCCACTAGCTCCGTAACCTGTGGAAATTCCGGCGTTTCCCCGCAGTACTCAAACCTCAATTTCCTGTCTGGAGCAAGAGCTGCCCTCGCTCCCCGCCCCGGGGCGGCATCGGCAGCCCCGCCCCGCAGCGCTGGGTGTTCCCGAACCGCCCGGGAGAGATGTGCACAGTCACCGCAGGGCAGAGGAAAGGAGGGGAGTAGAGCTGCGCCTCGGCTTTGGGAACGGTACTTTTTGCTGTGGCTGTAAGTGTCCTCATCGCCCATGATTCCTTCGAGGCGGTCCTCTGAGGCATCTCTGGGGATGCTCTAATGAACATCAGGGCTGTGACAAGGGCCTGATGGTCAGAAGGACCACATTTTCTGGTTGGGAATTGCACGTTAAGTTAGAATTTAGCTCTCTGTAGTGAAGTAACTCGCTTGCAAAGACTGATTTAAGGGAAGCTGTTGCTGCCCAGGCTGTGTCGGGAGAGCCGTGCCCGAGAGAGCAGCAGCAGCAGCACAGTTCTGGCAGCAGTGGTCCTGACCCCAGCAGTGAAGTGAGCAGTGTTAGAGATGTGCCTTCGTCTCAGTGAGGCTGGGTACCCTGGGTGTGACCTGATTTTTTGGCTGCCAGGTGTCTGCACTGCTAGGTTTCAGGAGAGATGCCAGTGTAAGGGCAGCATCAGAACCAAAATATTTTGAGTCAACTTACAGCTTATTTAATTTGTGCCTTCTCTGAAGACTATTTTCTTTAGATCAACTGGATGATTTTTAAGCATACTATTTCTCCAGCAGTCAAGGTTAAAATCAGGTGGCTGAATAGTCTAATGTAACCTGACGATGAGAAGAAATGCCACAAAGCTGGCTGGGGTAAACAAATGCATGACTCACAGCTATTTGGCTTTCTAAGTCTTTTTTTTTTTTTTTTTTAGTGTTAAACCTCCTTGGAAAGAGTCTGGCTTGATATTTAAATGGAACCATGTGTAATGTTTGTGCTTGGGGGCTTATGTCAATATGCTTTTGGCAGCATTTTAATGAGCTGGATAAGAAACGAAACTACCTGTTACTCTAGTATGCTGTTTTCCTCATAAAAAGCGGAAGCTCTGTAGTTAATATAATTATGAGGTCTCTGAATTACTGGAAGCATATCTACTGACTTGTGTCAGAGTGGGCTGGGTAATGTAGTTCTGAAAATGAGAAAGTGACTGAAAAAGGAACATGGACAGTCTGCCATTCATAAAAAAGGAACTATCTAGGGATGTTATTTCCTTACTCTGTAAGGAGTTGGTTGTGCTGTGCTGGGTGAGAGGGTCTAGAGTATCCCGGCAATTGACTGCTACTTCTGAGAGCAAAGACAAAAAGTCTGGGAACTCCTATGGATGTGGAAGAAGGCTGGCAATGTGGGTTCTAGATAGTACAGTATAGAGGGACAGGGTATGAAAAATTGGACTTGTTGGTATCAGTTCCTTTCTCTCATGAGCAGTACAGCAAATGAAGGGTGAGGTCTGCTGCCGGTGTGCCAACCCCCAGCTGAATGGCTGCACATGGCATATAAAAACTGTTTCGGGGGTTGGTGGTGATTCTTCTACCATTTATTTCCTCTCAGCATTCAAGTGGTTGAGATTGGAGGCCAAGCTGTGGGGCTCAGGTTGTGAGTTTCAGGAGGGGCATCTGGCAGTGCCTACCTTTCCTGATCCCAGTGCTCAGGTGCAGCAGGGAGACCTTGGGCCATCCAGGAACAGTATTTCATAAGGGTTGCTCATTATTAGGCAGCCACTTTCTGTGAAGCATCACCAGTTCCCCCAGTGCCTCCTTTCTGGCAGCAAAATCACTTTTGTCTTCCCCTTGTGTAAAGTTGAACCCAAGTATGTCCCTTACTTCAGAGAAGAGAGATATTTATATCTCATCTGTACTCCTTTGGGAGAGTGGACCCATAGATATGAGTTACTACAGGAATCTGTCAGGAAAGCTAAAACTTGATGGCTTTTCCCAGCACAGGCTCCCTGGCACATCCCTAGCCCAAGGGAGGGGTGAGGCTGGTCCCTACCACTTCTTGCCTTTCAGCACTCAGCTGTGGGATTTTGGTCCATGTTTAATTAGCAAAAACCTCAGGTAGTGTAATAAAATGTGAAGGACTCTTTTAATCCTTGCAAAATTTAGGTTCGAAAGGATACACTTTGGATGTTATTTTGTTTCATCCCTCTGCTTAAAGGCAGCCTAAATTCAAATTTATTTTGTTCAAGGCCTTATAAAGCAGTTTACAAGATATATTACAAAGATATACAGCTGCTGCTTCTGGAACATCATGACCAGATTATTCACTCCAACACACTTAATCCCAATTTATATTGTGAATTCATGTTGCAGCATGTCACCAGTATAGCACAAGGGATTCATGCACCTGTTTTTGTTGAACCAAAATGAATTCTGTAATGGACTTCTACTTGCTGAAGTACTTTACTTCTTTTTTTTTTCTTTAATTCTATGTAATTTTAACTCCATTACAAAGAAATAACATTAGCCTTCATTTGTATTAGTGGGAGCTAAATGCAAAAACCTTCACTTTTCCCTGCTATGTTGATGCCTAAGAAACCAAGGAAAAAAGACTCCAGGCCAAATTAGGTAGGAGATAAGATAAGAGAGCAGAAGTTTTAATGAGCCCCCAGGCTCCAGGAATACAAACCCACATGTACACACTTCAACTCAGGTGTTACAATTTTTATAACGATGTCCATCCAATCCCTGCTTGTCCACTCCCCAGTTCTGCCCCGTTCCGCAGAATTGTCCATGTTTTACATTCCTGGGGCAGGCATTAGGGTAGAAGACTAAACAACTAACGGACTTAACGGAGTTTTGATATGGGAAGGGGGTTTGATATGTACAACTGTTAGGCTCCTGCCGTTACTTCTACTGGAAAATACTGATAGAAGATATAACATCATGAGAAACACACTACAGGTACATTTAAAATCTACATAACTACTACTAAAATCTATAAAAGTTAAAAAAAATCTAAAAAAATTAAAAAATCAAAAAACTCAACAATGTAAGTAATGTTTCAATGACCGTTCTCTATACTTATTTTAAAAGTGCTACTAGAACTAGTAGCAACTAGCTGTAGGCAAAGCCACGTTTTATTACACTGACATGAAAATGTAGGCTTCAGTTTATTGCTCTGTGCAACCTAGGCAGGTGGGACCAACAGGGAAGTGTTCACAGCACCAAGCCTGACAGAGTTCAGAAAGCATTCGGACATGCTCTCAGGCACGTGGTGTGATTCTTGGGGCTGACTTGTGCAGAGCCAGGAGCTGGATGTTGATGATCCTAGTGGGTCCCTTCTAACTCAGGAGATTGCATGACGCTATGGGCACATTTTCTGAGTGACTGGTCTTCCTGTATCTACTGCTTCTTGACTGAAGTTTCGCCAGGTGGGAATTTCACCACATGTGACAACCTGGCAGAAAAAAAAAAATAAATTGTGCAATATAAAGGTTGACAAAAGTGAGTTTTTGTTCCTCGTTCCTGTGGTGTTTCAGAGTTTTATGTTATTGCACAATCTTTGTAAATTTTCCAGATGAAAAGCAGGGCATGACTGACAATGTGTGATGACTGAATTGGAGGTAATAGGAGTCTAGATAAAAGGCAGCGGAAGAATAGAGACAATTTTAATTAAAAAAATAATCTTAACTATTCTCTTTAACATCATGTCTGATGAAATGGGGGCTGAGCTTTGTAAAATCTTTGTTGCTTTTCTAGCTATAGAGCAGATCAACACTTTCTAAATCCTAGATTGTACAATGGCATATATGTGTGGTTGTAGGGACAATAAAAGATTCTGGACTACTATAAAGCCTTTATTTTAAATAAATCTTATGATTCTGTCTTTCCTTTTACCAAAGGGTTTAGTTGTAATTCTCAACATTTCACTGAAGGTCAGGTAGCTGGAACATCTCACAGTATAAGCTGATCTTTTGCTAGTTTAAATAACATTGTTTATTCTTTTTTAATTTGTGATACTCCTACAAGCTGGTAGTTTTGTCAACATAATTAATATGGTCATGTATTAAACTTGTCACTCTACAGCATAAACTGTGAAAACAAGTTTGAGTTTTGTAGTTTGGATGTGTTCTTTCAGATTTTTAAATCAAATATATAATTGTAAATAGAAGAAAAAAATACTGAGAAAGGATGGCTTTAAGTGGCTTTTGTTTAATTTATTAAACAAAGAGGATTTTGTGTAGGTTTTGGGAAATGAGCTAGTTCCGTGCCGTCCCAGAACCAATAAACACCATTCCACAATATCTGCTTTTGTTCTGGGAGTGAAAACAGGAAGGAATTACTTTCAGTTTCAGTTTCATTCCCAGCTTTGAACGCCGGTCTTCATTGAACTGAAGTAGTTAGAAGATCCATAACAGACAAAATATATTACTAGTTTAAATTAAACTGGATTATTTTTGAAGAGGAACTAGGTTTATTTTTTTATTTTAAAGCTTTTGATTCTATTAAAAATTAGTGCCTATTCCATTCTTTTTTAGACTTCCCCTGAGACTTAAAAGAAGTATCTCTCAAGGTTGGTACTGCTATTAGTAAATATTCTTTCTGGTGTGGTGTGTGTTTCTGTTTGGAGGGATGTATGTGTTTGTTTGTTTGTTTGTGTTTTGTGGGGTTTTTGGTTTGTTTTGTTTTTGTTTTAATTCCTTTGGCAACCTGGAAGAGTAGAAGGAAAAAGACAAGCAGTTGGCCCTTTCACTCATGGTGTTCTGCTTAGCATCTCACTCCCCTGTGTGAGCCCACCTTTTTTATCTTGTGAAGGTGAAAACTGGATAGGTGTTATTTAGTAGTACCACTTCAGAAGTGGAATAGTTTTAAAAGAACAGAGTAGGGGGTAGTGTGGCAGCATGGCTGCTCCAGTATTTACCCAGCAGGTTTTGTAGTCAGCATCAATACACTGAACCAGCTGCTCTGAAATTACTGCAGTAATTTGTTCATATGAATTGCATGATGTTTCTGAATGGCTACACAGTGGAGTCTTGCACATCCCAATGCTTTCCTCTGACCTAGGGATGATTTTGGGATACTCAAAGCATGAATGCAGGCATAGATAATTCAGATTTATGTGGTGATGGAGACATAGCTTAGAAGGAAGCTGAGACATTTAAGGTTATTTTACCTTGTATTTGTAATTCAGCTTTCCCATATGGTTTAGACAGGCAAATATCTTTTATCAGTAATAAATAGAGAACACTGAATAACTCTTTTGTGAAATTATATATTAAAAACATCGTGAAATAAAAATGTTCTTTTGCAGAACAACTGTAAGCAAGCAGATCCCCATGATGCAAGGTGAGTAAAAAATAAACAAAATGTCATCTTTTGTTAACATCAAAGATAGCATGGGTCCTTCCAAGGTATTCAAGCAATATTAGCTTAGCTATTAGTTTACCTTCTACTTATATGAAATATGTATGAAAGTGTTAAATTGAAATTTTAATATTGAATATTTTACAAAACAAAGAGCTTACATTTTCAGTTCTTGATTTCTGGAGTGATATAAAAATAATAAATAAGTAATCTTGAAGTTCAAGTTATTTGTGCTTAAAAACTGAAGTTGGTAAATGTTTTTAAATTCATAGACCTCCCAGTGTGCTGGTGAGGTAGTACTACAGTCTGAACTTGAAGAAGTTGGGAGAAACTGTTTTACATAGAGGGGAGTGGCTCATTTCCATGTTCGGTACTGGAAGGCAGCCTGTCAGTTTCCTGGTAATGCTTGGATTTAAAACTTCCTTCTAAATATCAGTGAACAAAGGCACCTCTGGTGCAGACAGAGTGAACTAATCTTGCTTGAGCAGGGCTTGGACTAGGTGATCTCAAGAGGTCCATTTTGAACCAAATGATTCCGTGACTTATTCATGACATCATGGGCAATACCTGCCTTTTTTTCTGAGCTTTAAGGACCAGAACTCCTTTAAGTTATACTGATGTTTAATGTACACACTGTTCATAAATATGAGCTTGATGTACAGTTTTTGTTATACAGAAAAGAGCTGCCTAATTTATGTGTGTATTCTGGAAAAGGGGGCAGTGTTGGGGATCTTTCTGCCTAGGGTAGGAGGAAAAGATCAATACTCAGAGAGTATATTCCATTCTTCCAGGACCTCAACCTGCCACAGCACCTGGAGTCCCCTTTGGCTCCCCTCAGCACGTCCCTGGGCCTTACCAAGGTAGGTTGCTTGGTCACAGACCTGTGATACTATTAGGAAATAACCATGGGGAATATGGGGTTGTACAAGTGTGATCATCTCCAATTTACTGCTATTCATTCTATAAAGTTTCTTTTAATTTCTGCTTTGCTGGAAAGTAATTTCTTTCTTTTTTGAATGTATGCTGAGCAGTACCAACAGCAGTAGGAGTTAAAAATGTCAGATATTCTCCTGTAGTCGCTGTGGGGAGTTTGCTAGGGAGGTGTTTTTGATCAAACTTCCCTGCTAGGGAGGTTAACTGATGCAAAGCAATTAATGTGTGGCAGCTTCTTACTGATGATCAGATTTTTTTAATTGTTATTTCAGTATTTCACTTTATTTTTCTCAAGAAATCCAGAACTGAAGAAAATTGTTTTCCTCCTGCAGTTCTGCTGGTCCATGTATTCCATTCCCATTTCTTGCTCTGTTGCTGTACTTAGCATGTGGTTATACTTTATACTTTCCCTCACTTGCTCTTCTCCTTTTCTTTCTTATTTTCTGTTCTACATTCAAAATGCAACGCTCCTAAACAGCTTCTCTTGTTCTGCCAATGACTGCTTTCTGAAGCACCGAATCACAGTGTGCAATATCTAACAATCAGGCTCAAACCATAAATTACAGATAAAATGCAAAATGTTTGGCCTAAGTTACTGTGCTGTTCATAAGTTAAAGCTTTTGCATCTTGCAACAAGGCAATCTGAGGTCTGTAAGTACAGCTGGCATCAGCAAGGAATGAACATTCACTGCCTGTGCCATGAAGGTCACGGGAGCATTTTTATTTTGAATAATTGTATGTGCACACACTTGCACACAATAGCAGTAGATAATTTATGTGTAAGCCTCAGACATAAAAGTGATTTTGTATTCTCAAAGGGTGGATTCTTCTCTGGGGTGAGCTGACCACCTATGAATTTTAAACCACAGCTGTTTACATCACCCAGTACTGACCTGGTTATGGCCACAGCCTGATCTTTCACATGTAACAGTCCATGTATTGTAACACAATGTGAAATTTGGTGCTGAACTGGTGTGGGCTAAAGATAAGTCTACAAGTCAGTATCTCGAACTATTTGTACAGCTCCACAAAAATAACTCTTTGTGCCTTCTGCACTGTGCTCACTTCTGAGTAAAAGTGAGTAAAATCCTCTGTGTAAGACTGAAAGCCTGTCTACCTACCAGAAGGTATTAAAAAAGGGGAAAAAATACAGTTGTTGTTCTGTAACTTTCACTCTCAACTTCCGCAGTTTCAGCGACAAGGGTAGAGGAAGGCAGGACTCTGAGCCCAGGGGGACAAGGGATGGGCCGTGACACCAAGGCAGTGCTGCCTGTGCCATCTGCTGGGCTGCTGAGCACTTACACCCTGCAGTGCTCCCTGAGAGCTTGTCTTCTATTCAGCACCAGTTGGAGACCTGACATTCAAAAAACGTGGAACTCTTTCCTCCTTTACTACGCACCTCCTCTGTGAAGGAGTTGTGCGTTTTCTGGGTTTTGACAGAGAATCCATTAAACAAATGGGAAAGTGCAGTTTTTAGGTCACAGACTTCTGGTTTGAAAACTACAGATGATCTTTGCTAAAAGGGCATTTCCTTTCATGTAAGTAGAAGGTGTCATTTCAGGAAAACTTTATCTTAAAATTACTCATTTGCTCAACTGACAACTTGTAAATGCCAGTGCTTTTCTTGGAATTTAAAGCCTTCTGTCTTTTCTACTTAGAAATAACCTTCATTCATTTATTTCTAATTTTTGAATTGCCTGTCTTTATGTGAATGATATTTCTGCTATATTCAAGAATGCTGCATTTATTTATTTTGTTTGTTTTTTTTTTCTGAGACATTAGAACTTCCCAATCCAGTGTAACTTCCTTCATGAAGGTTGTTGTATTCATAACTGAAATATAGAAGGTATAAGGATCTCCATAGTTCAAAACAGTGAACCAGTTAATCTTTTGAAGATCAACGGGGTAATTCTTTTTCAGTATCTAACTCTCATAACTGTCTCTCTCTTACCATGCCAAATGTCTCAGGTGCAGGGAACTATGGCTTCCAAGCACAGCCCATGGGATTCCCAGGCGGACCTGCTTTTCCACCTGTCCAGAACCAGCCCGTCATGCAGGGGGGGACAATTTGGATGCCTATCCCTCCTTCTATTCCCAACTGCCCTCCTGGACTGGAATACCTCACACAGGTACCTGCACCTTTCCTCCTTCCAGAGATGGGGTATTCACTTGGGAAGCAGCCTGCATCCATGAAAAGGCAAAATAAAGCATCTGACTGTGTTGCAGCTGTGTGGGTTGCTGCTTTTGGGCTGCTAAGCAAAGCCTCAGATGCATCTCTGAGTGTGGAGGTGCCTGTTATGGCTCTAGCACTTGTCCAAGTAAGATGCTAAAGGATGAGGGGCACAGGACTATCGTACACCCTTCCCGTTCCTGAAGCTACTGTTCGTGAGATGTAACATGATTTGGCAAGGTGTATACAACAAATATCTGTAATATAGGCAACAATAGAACATTAGAGGTGCTTAATTTTCTACATGATGCTTTTTTCACACCACTTCATAATGTTGTTAGTAAAGTGCTAGTCAGACTTCACAACCTAGAGAATGCTAATAGCAAAATTGTTTCCATATTATAGATATGTCCTTGTACTATAAAATACAGTTCATCTCATCACTGGCAAGATTAACACTGCATATTGTTGCAAGTTCTGCAAATTGCTGAAAAAGAAAAGCAATGATGAGGAGAGGCTGATTTTCCCTGAATTTCCCTCAGAGCTGAGCAGTAGCTGAGCTTCCGCTCTAAAGTGTCTCAGTTTCCTTCTTTTGTCTGCATGGAGGCTCTGGGACCTGTGATGTCGGATCTCTGTCAGGCTCCGAGTCCTGAAAGGAGCACAGGCATGTTAGTCCTGCATGCTTGTAACCAGACCATGGGTACAGCTCCTACCATCAGCTCCAGTGCTCTGGAACACTGTTCTGCTGAACTGACAGTGGACAGGACAAGGAGGGGGTGTGAACTACTCCCACAGCTTTATTGGTAGATGATCTGCCTCTATACAATGTATTGATCCACAAATTTTCATTCTGAAATGAAACAGCAATGGCTCTTAAAACTACATTTCTCTTAGTTACAGCTTGTTAACTATTTATTCTGTTTAATTTTTGAACCATGGACAGATTGACCAGATATTAATTCATCAGCAAATTGAACTTCTTGAGAGTAAGTACAAAGTATTTAAATCTAATAATCCCAAAGACAGTAAAGTTTAGACTTTCTTTAACACTAGGTATTTAAGGTGGATCATCACCTTTCGCTTTCCTGCCTCTGGTAACCTGTCTCAGTTCCTGCAGAAGCTATGGAGGAGAGGAAGGAGAAATTAAGAGGGAAGAGGATTTTAAGCAGGTTCTATACAGCAATGAAACTGAATAATCTTGGTAGCTAGTTATAGATAAAGTCACACATTTCTAATACTATTAATTTACAATGATTTCTACTCTCCTCTCTTCCCTACTTAAAGATCTTTTCTGTCATATCCCACCTAATTCCATAGACTGGCATGTGGCTTTGATGCTGTTTACAGGCAATCCTGCTGTTTTAGCAAACTCAATGGCTTTTTTTCTGTTCCCTTCATTCCGTTCACTTTAAGAACATCAAAGTCATGTTATCATTGTCTTTCAAATAGAAGAAATAAAATGGACCATACATCTCAGCTGACACCCAATGTTACTGTATTTTCTTTCCATAAAACTTAAAAGAGTGCTTTCATTTGTTATAGAAATTAATTAAAATTTCTCTCCTGGTTCTTGTTGCTTTCAATGTGCGCTGCTGTGAATCTTGACTGTGAGGCTTTTTAGTGGCCTTCTCATTCTGAACATATTTGTGCCCTTTTCTGGCTTCACCCCCAGATTCACAAGTGTTTTTAATTCTCATCTGTTCAGCTCTTCCCTGAGAATCTTCCATGCTGTTATTGGTAACTGTGGTGCTTGTCTCTGGCAGCAGGTGTCCATGTCTGGTGGGGGGGGAAAGGGGACTAGTGGAAATCTCCGTGCTCTTTCTGCCTGTCCTTGTTCATGGTAACTTCTCTCTGAACTTCTTCATCAGGCTTCTCTGCTGCAGGGTCCTTCCTCCCGTTACCCTTTGCCAGCAGCTGCCTCTGAAGGACTTTGAGCGAGGCTTGCCTTCCCAAAGGGTAACTGTGGAGTTAGCAGGGAGAGATTTCTGACCAGACTTCTCCTATTTTTCAGTTTTGACTGGCTTTGAAACACAGAACAAATATGAGCTCAAGAATGCACTGGGGCAAAGGGTGTACTTTGCAGCAGAGGACACTGACTGCCTTACCAGGAATTGCTGTGGGCCATCACGACCCTTCACCATCCGGATTATAGACAACATGGGCCGTGAGGTGATAACGCTGCAGAGGCCTCTCCGCTGTTCTTCGTGCTGCTGTCCCTGCTGTTTGCAGGAGGTGAGTTGCTGCCTCTCACCGCCTTCCTTCAGATGGCACAGAGACCTCCTATGCAGTTTTAGATGAGGTCTTGGATCAGGAGGTGAGGTGAAACAAATCAGGTTTTGCCCGTATGTTGTGGAAAGAGAGATTGGTGGGATTTATGCGTGGGATTCTTAGTCTGGGAAGAAGGAAGTGTGCTGCAACACTTGGACTCACCCCGGACATTTCCGATTACGGTAATGAAAAATCTGATTGAACAGCATGTCAGGGAACTTGTGGCTAGTGCTGAAATCTGCACTGAAGGTGGACTTGGAATGGAAAAGTAAGACAATGGCTTTCATAAAATAACAGCTAGATTTTTCGTTCTACAGCTGTGAAAGCTACAGTGAAATTCAATTCACGAGATCATGAGTTTTTTTAATGATAACATAATTCTAGGATGATTCAACTTCTGCAACTTTAAATCTGAACCTACTTAGAACTATTACTCAGGGATTTGTAGTAGCTGCACCCTCTAATGTCTTCACTTACTGTATTTCTTTCACTGGACTTTGATGTTTATACTGTAGATGCATAGCTTGTGTCTCTTACTGTTTTCTTGAAGGCAAAAGTTGAATTTGAGGTCTGCGATCTGAGTGCAGTCTTCTGAAAACACTCACAAAAAATTGCATGCAGGTCATGCATTGAAAGGCCAGATTGTAGTGGAAAAATACATTTTGGTTTCTTTGTATGCTGTTGTGGGTTTTGTTCACAAGCATATCAAAGCATGAACACTCACTTGGAGGTTTTCTCTTTCCTGCAAAGGTGGAAGTTCAGGCACCTCCAGGAACAAGAGTTGGTTATGTTGTCCAGAATTGGCATGCCTGCCTGCCAAAGTTTACAATTCAAGATGAGAAAGGAACGGATATACTGAAAATTACTGGCCCATGTGTTGTCTGCAGCTGTTGTGAGGATGTTAATTTTGAGGTATGAAAAGCTAAAAATTGTTTGCATGTATCTGTTTTCAGATAGTAACTTGATAGTAGTTTGTGGCTCAACTTATACAACAGTTCAGTTGACAGGTAATATATTAAGTAATTAGTACATAATCTTTTAATGCTGGTATAATCAACTCACTTCTCTAGATATCTAAATTACTCTAGATAAAACAGACAAAATACCAGAAATTACATCTTAAAGCCACTCATTCATGATCAGTGAGAATAATTCCCTGTGGCTGCACACAAATTAGTTAATTAAAATATTGAGGACCAAAGTCTTTTTGAATGTATTATGTTAGGCCCTAATAAAAAATATTATTCTCAGCTGTATTAGGTATTTATTGAAATGACTTTCTACAATCACATATTTAATAATTTAATAATCATTCAATGAACTAGTAAATCAAGATAATTTAAACCTAAAATATAGAGTCGAATGACTGAGAAGTTGCAATTTTCACTTTAAATTAATAGTGATTAATGCACATTAAGTAGTAGATATACTAGCCTACCATTTAATATTTAAAATAATGTTGCAAAGGGTTACTGAAGTAAATTTAGTATGATTTTATTTTGGGAACTAGTCTTTCAGATGACCCAGAAGACTGGACCTAACTTCAGGAAACATAATGTCGACAAAGGGCTAATCTCTGCTTTGGAACGGAAGAATGTAGTTTGTTTAATTTTCACTTGAGCAGTTCCTGATAAATGGAAAGAGAAAATAATTCACCCTCTTGGCTAACAGACAACACTTCCAGGAGAGTGTGTGTGTGTGTGTGCGCGTGTGTGTGGTAGCTGTCTCCCAGCACATTGAACTTGCAGTCAGATTCAGAATTAAGTTCATGGCTGTGCTACTAAAGAATGACTTTCTGATAGTCTGATTGCCTTTTGGTACAAACACTTGCATTCAGTAATCACATTAATTCATATAACATAGTCTGAAGCTTTCAAATGGATCTACCCTGAAATGGATTTGGGAATATTATGAATGAAAAATTTCATGATGTTGTTTTGATTTTATATTAAACCAGGTGAAGTCTCTGGATGAGACTTGTACTGTTGGGAGGATTTCTAAGCATTGGACTGGGTTTGTGAAAGAAGCCTTTACAGATGCAGATAACTTTGGAATCACATTCCCAATGGACCTTGATGTGAAAATGAAAGCTGTTATGATTGGAGCTTGCTTCCTTATTGTAAGTCTGTTGTTCACTAATATTTGAACAGGAACTAACTTTTTCATCTTCATGTTCTGATTGTACTGGTAAAGGATTTGATTCTGAGCTCCTTGAAGTGGGTGACAGCTTCTGAACTTCAACGTGTAAAACTGACCATAAAAGGCAATACAGAATTATTTTAGATAATAAGCTTGTTCCAGACTACATGAAGTGCTAATTGTATTTAAGAAGAGCTTTGTATATAATGGGACTGAAAAAACCTGTAGAGGGAAGACTCCTTACAGACTCAGTAGCAGAAGAAAGCAAGTTTATATGAATGTTGAAACCAGAAAAATACAGATCAGCAGTAGCCAAGAGACCCATGCAAAGCCAGAGCAGCCTGCTGAGCTGGTGGACAGTTGAATGCTGCAGCCAGCTCGTCCTGACTCTTCTTGGAAGTAAGTGAAGCACTGAGCTGAGCAGGACTAAATGCTCTCAGAGGAGTAGTTTCCAAATGGAGAGGCCACTGTGGAGGCTAAGCATGTTGAACTTGTTAGAGCACTTCTCAGCTATACTCAGAGTCTACTGTGTCAATATTGCAGTGCAGTTCTCTTTGCTCTTTGAAAACAGGGTGCAACACACTTGTGTTTCCACTTACCTGTGCAATTCTGCATCGGTATAATTTCAAAACGTGCACTGCTTCTGTGCTGGCAGGGCTGCAGAGGGGGAGGAAAGGGGTATGTGAAGCACCTTGAGTGTGGGAAGGTCTCACCAGCCTCTAACAGGCCTGTGCACAAACCAGGCTTTGTTTAGCTGTGTGTGTTCTTGTGCATCAAGTACAGCATTAGTGAGTTTGAGCAAGCCAGGACTCCAAGCACAGAAAACGGGCCCCCCACATGTAAACTTAATCATTATTACAATGGAATCCAGTTTGAGGTAAAATGAAAGAGACTGAGTCAGGTTGAACAAAGCCAGGGCAAGAATCCCAAGTAAAGGATCACTAGCTTTGACTAGTGATAAAAGTTTCCATGTTGGTCTTTCACCATCTCTCTCTGTGGGTGTCTCGTGCTGAGAGACCCAAGTGATGAGGTCATGGCAACAGGCACCCCCACCTTCTTATCATTTGAGGTTTCAGAGAGGAAGGTGAACACCTTGCAGAGTAGCCAGGAGATCTCTGAAATAAGAACCACATTAAGTATTTGTTTGTTTGCTTTTTTTTGCCCCCTAAGGACTTCATGTTTTTTGAGCATGGTGCTGATAAGAACCAGCGATCGGGAGTTTGGTGATGAAATCTAGAAGTTTTATATAGAAGAAAGAAGAACCTGGATGTCCCAACTTCCCAGTGAATTGCAGAGCTCCAGTAAGAATGTGAGAAATGTACATATTACAGTTACATTTCTAGAAGGGAAAAGCTTTATGATCTTATTTTTCTTGGTTTTAGTTTTTTTTTGTACTCTGATGAAATAGTTTGTAGTGTTGAAATAAAAATCCTTTATCTGCACAGGTGAATACTGTGATTTGTAGAAATATGTGGCAACCTTTTTATTCCCGAGAGATTTGGAACTGTAAAGTAACTACTTATAGTAATACTTTAATTCCTAAAAAAGAGGACTACTTCTATATTCAATATTAATGTTAGCAGTGAGCCTAATAAAGAGATGCTGATCTTTTCCTGTGTATCCTTTGGTAGTTTTGCCTTGGTGTTCACATCCTGTAGTTTTCAACTTCTTATCCAAATATATCAAATATATACATTCAAAACAATGTAATGGATGTGAAAAGAACTATCTGAAATCAGTGTAAAATTGTATTAATTTGGTGTATTGGATCTGGCTTCGTTTTGCCACAGCTGCCCTCCCAGTGCTGTGCTTTGTGTTGGTAGCTGGAAAGGTGTTGATAACACATCAGTGTTTTGTCTACTGCTGAGCAGAGCTGGCACGGCATCAGTGCTGTCTCTCAACATTCCAGCCCCCATCATTAGGCTGGGAGTGGGTAAGATCCTGGGAGGGAACAGAACTAGACCAGCTGACCCAAATTGACCAAAGGGATATTCCATACCATATGATGTCAACTCAGATATAAAAGCTAAGAAAAGGAGGAGGAGGAAACAGGGGCATTAATGTTTGCCTTCTGGACCAACTGCTACCTGTGCTGAAGCCTTGCTTCCCAGGAAGTGGCCAGACATCACTTGCTGTAGAAGAAAGAAGAGAATTAGAAGAATATAGTTGTTTTTTTTCTCTTTGTGCGCACACAAACTTTCACTTTTGCTTTAGTAAACTGACATGTCTCAACCTATGAATCCTTTTCCATCTTATTTTCTCTTCCCTATGCAGCTGAGAAGGAGGTGTGATAAAGTGGCTTGGTGTGCAACTGGCATCCAGCCAAGGTCAGCCCACCACATCTGGTGATAAATATGTTGTCAAGTATGACTCCTAAGTGTTTCCTGATTTTGGTTGTTTAAAGTTTATATTTTCAGTAATAGAAGTTAGAGGAGACAGGAAATATATATGTCCGTGTTTGCTTCTGTTTAATAATCCTTTAGTAATTGCTTTGTGCTTGAGTGTGTCCTGAGGCAAGGAAAAACTAGTTAGTTACTTTTCTGTTTCTCCAGTTATCTTTCCTCCTCATTTTTTCCATGGTTTTCATGGATTTTAAGTCTGCCTGCTGGTGTGAGGGTGCAGGAATAATGAACAGAACAATTCCACTTCAAAAGCAGACACATGAAATGTGTATATTATGCCTTTTTAAAGTTAGCTTCTGCTGCTAAAGTTCCTTGTATGTGGAATTGCTGGAGGTGCATTTTTAATTCATCAACACTATTCTTAGGGAATTAATTTATTATTGTTATTTTGAAAAAATTTTGTGCTTTAATAACCAGCTATTAATGAGATATCAGAAATTCAGTCTCACTAAAATCTGCTAAAAGTTTATGATTGCTTGAATAAGGAATAGCTACATATATTAGAAATCAAAGTAAAAGACCCAGGACCAGACCTGTCCTCTAGGGATTCATATGGGTAAGTACACCATTATCACCCCTGCAAAGGGGTGACACACAGCTTCAGTTCTGCCTGTAGCTCTGAAGTCCCAGGCTCAAGCACATTTGATAGCTGACTTCAGCAGGGAGCGGAGTTACTCAAATAAATATTCCATAAAGATTGTTTTGGAGATATTTGAAAGTACCTATTTACTTCCATAGCAAGTGCTGCATAGAGTTTAAATTTACAATTTGCATTAGAGTGAGGTCTATGGCTGTTTGACAAAAGGTTTGAATAATACTTTGCAAGTAAGCAAAGCAGGGATCCCTTTGCCCATGGTAAAAAGAACCTTGGTATCATAAATTCATCCACTGTCAATAAACTGGGGAATATATGCAAATTTAAGTAAGGTATTAGGAGCTTGGGCTAATACAACATAACCAGGAGACTTTATTTTCATTCCTCCAGGTAATTAAATTTTGTTTGTTCAAATGTTGTTCTTAGGTATTCAGCATAAGTCCTGAAAACTCCATTGCCTCAACAGTCTTGCACATGAAATTACAAAGGAAAAATCATGTACCTCTCTGCAGAGCAGTAAGGGAAGAATGCGAGAACGTTAATGGTTAAGAATGATCAGCTTCACGTCAAGATGTGGTGGAAAAAAATGTTGCAACTCTCATATCTTAAGGAGAATTTCAGTTGCAAACAGTAACAATTCTGTGAAATATAATCAAAGCAAAGATATCTGTGCTTAAAACAGGTTTCTCAAATACAGTGAATCCCAACAATGAAGTTGTGCTGTTGCCATTTAGATTTTTGGATTTTATGCTGCTGAAGTCTAGTAGTCAAATTACTCCAGCTTGTTCCTTTACCATATATTTAGCAAAATTAGTAAATAAGGTGAAGAATTAGATAACCCAAGAGAAAAAGTATGCAAATCCAGCTAAGGAGTAAGAAGTAGAAGCTAAGGATCTTAGATTTGCCAGAATTGTGGTAAGAACAGGAAAGAAGTTCTGCAATCTCAGATCATAAAATGATAGAGAGAGCATTGGACTAGAGGAACTTGCCATTGGTTTGGTAACTGAATAGCTCTGATGCTGGTTACACACCTCATAAACTGTTGTCTTGTGAAACAGTTCATGGTCTCTTATGAAGGCAAAAATATTGCATGGGAAGTCCTAACTAAAACTATCAAGGGGTAACTCTTTAGTTAACCAAATGGTATCTTATCACCTTTGTAATCTCACTTTTTTTTCTATTGCTATTTAGTTGAAAAATGCTTAATCCTTAAATTTTACAAGAACTTTGGGAGACTTTCTCATTTCTGAAACTGATTGTGCTAAATGCAGAATAAATAATTCTTTGAGCCATCTTTCTTCATTTTGAAAGAACCCGTAACAGCATCCATATTTAATAAATCACCAGACCAGAACTCTCCACTCTTCATCTATCAGATTGTAAGCAATAGAGTGATTTACCCCCCATCCATAAATCCAGACTTTGGAAAACATTAGAAGACTTTCAGCATGCCACCTGTTATTCCACAGCATCTCAGTGAGATGGAGCTGTTACATAAAACCTTTACAGAGTGAGATTTGCAGATGGATTTCTCTAGTTCGGTTAATGATCTTTCCATCTGTATCATCCCTGTAAGTTTTTAATTTCCAGCTGCATCAGGAGATGCAGTCACTTAATGAAACCCCAGGGTCTATATAGCACAGAAAGACATAATTTATATGATGTTTCTCAGTAAAAAAAGCACAGTTAATTCTGGTTTCCAGAAACCAAAATTATAAGTGTAAACAAAAAAAAAATTACTCCTTTAGTCATAATCAAGATTGGTTTTTTGCTAATTGAAGAGAGAGAATAAGCTTGCTAATTGAAAAAGAGAAGGAGCATTGTTTTAAAGTACATTGTCTAACAGTTGGTCTTTTGAAAACATTTTAATTCATATTTGCAAAACTCATAATAAGGTCTCCTTGGGTCTTTTTGTTGACCCAAGGGCAGCCCTTACATCCCTCACATACTTCATGTTGGTTTTACTAAAAAGAATAACTTTGACCAGGAGCTGAGAGTCGAGAAAGACTGCACAACAAAAGGTGAGTCAGGGAAGGAGAAAACAACTGTTTTTCCTGAACTGAATTTATCTCGTTTACTGTAGGTACAGGTACATTGGAAATATGAGTGATAATAGAGAAAATCAAATCTATGTTCAAGGGAATTTATTGAAAAATAGCATGGCTAAAGTGTTTGACTACTAATGGGCATTGTATGATATGGATAGTTATAATTTGTGACAGGAATACTTATGAAACTGATAAATGGTAAAGGTAAAAGCATGATGCAGGGATGGAGTTGTGGAACCAGAGAAACTTGCAGATAAGGGAACCTCTCATGATCAGGGCAAGGAAACAGGTACAGGTTGCATGCAGGGGAAACCACCACTACACTACAAGATGAAGAAGCCATGTCAAGCAAAAAGCAATTATGTGACTGGATCTTAAAATTAGTGAGACAGGAGATTAAAAAAAAGTACAAGAGCACCACAGAAAACAGCAAGAGGTCAGAGGGAGAGAATAACAAAGAAAAAAGTGCAGCTCTGTTGGGGTGGAGGGAAAAGCCCAGCTAGTGGAGAATTCTGTTGGATTGGATCAGGGCTTTATGTGTTCTTTCATGATATATATGCTTATGTACTGACCAGATTGCTCTAAGGCTCTAGTAACTCCCTGTCACCATTCACAGGGAGACTTCCATACATTACTGATTTTGGTCTGGAGAGAATTTATCTTCTGTTCTATAGATATATTTGACCTATCCCTTAGTTCTAGTTTATTTACGTGTTTTACCTGATAACACTTCATTAATGACACTGTTATTAAAGACAGCGGTGATGATTAAGTATACATGAGAGCATTGCAGCACACCAAAGAGGGAGAAGAGATGAAAACAGGGATATATGACTGTGTCTCCTATTTTTCGATGGGTGGCAGTGTTAGCACAGAAATTATTTTTTCACTGCTTAAAACCTGGCTATGAGATCCACAGGCGGTTTGCTTAGATGTCATTCTGATTTTCTTAGTGGAAGAATTTCAGATTACACTATGTCCAAAGTATGTATTCCCTACATGAGTGTGGAAAGCTCGATGTGTCTTTCCCACCCAAGCAGTAAAATCCTAAGCTTCAAATGCAATTATGCACCACTAGGAAAATTAAAAAATGTGCATGAAAGTATGTTAAACCATGATTGATTTAGAATACTTAGACAAAATACTGTGTAATGTCCTTAAAGTTGCATTAGGCTTGGTAAATGGTATAATTTGGAATTGGACTATGATTTCTGACAGAATTTACTACTGAAAGCAAAAAGTTATTAATATACCACAGCAGGGTACATCAAAGCAAACAGGCTGATTTCATTGCTGCTTTAATGTCACTGATTTATGTCTGAGGGGCATTTAGCCCCCTAGACATGAGATAGGCTCAGTGTGCATGGCTATGACGTGGACCACACTGCAGGGCAGTGGAGGAGAGGGCGAGGGACAGGAGACCTGTGCCAGGCAGGCCTAGGAATCTGCTCCAGGCTTCCCCCCTGGCTTTGGTTGTGTTTTTCTCTGTTACATTTAAACTTGCTGCTCATGCCTCAGCTGGTTTAACCTTTAGCTGACCTAGTTATTGAACCAGGGCAGCTGGTAGCATCTGAGGAAGTCAATATTTCTCCTTTGTTGCTTGCCTTTTACCGAGGAGCAGACACACAGACACTGGTGTGAAGCTGAGCAGCACGGAGGGGAGCCTGCACTGGTCCTGTATACACCAGGACCCTTGAAGCTTCTTGTGTCCCTGCCCCTGATGCACAACCACCATCAGCCCCTGAGGGCAAATGCATGCCAAAAAAAAAGAAGGGAGAGTGAGCTAGTGCAGTGCAGGTACTGATGGTCTGGCTGCCTTCTGTCTAGGAGCCTCCTCTTCCTTGATACACGTGCTACAGAGAGGGAGTGACACAGAGATGTTCAGCAACAGGAAAATTCCTGTGCAACTCTACATCACAGCTTCAAGGAGCATGGACAAAGTTTTATTCCAAAGGTAAGTGTTCAAATTACCTTGAATTTTATTCAAGGTAAGTGCAATGCTGCCACAGCACTGCGTGAGGAGCTGGGAGTCAGCACTGGCATGGTGGTGCTGGCACTGTGGTGGTGCAGTGAGCTGGCACAGGGCCCCAGGAGGGAGCAGTGGGTGGCAAATGCTGTATGGAAACTCCTAAACAAACTGGTGAGGCTGAGGTTTGTGGTGAAGGCTGTAATTAAAGCTATTTATAATAAGAGAAGTATAAACAAAAGGTAACTTGCTAATTTAAATGACCCAGTTATACGTTTTGACCCTGAAGACACTAAAGACTTTGGGGCTGCCTTGACTTAGTGGCTTACAGCAGTGTTTTGCTGGTATTATGTATGACCTGCACGTCAGTGCAGTAGTGTTTTGTAATTGAGGTCCTGTCTGCATATTCCTGCTCTGAAGTACAGTCCCTCTTGTGTAAGTGTACGGTTCCTCCTGAATGTTGGGATTTTTTTTGGCACAATTTGAACAGCACAACTTCCCAAGGTATCTGACCTTGCACAAGCATTGCTCTGTGCTGGTCCACTTTCTGTTTAGTTATACCCTGCTATAGAACTGAGTTATCATATACATCATTGAGGAACTCACTCCAACAGTCTTTACAGGCTGTAAGTTGCTCCTTCAGTTATTTATGAATCTTTCCCAACCCCAGCTGATATTTCAGTATTTCAGCTCAGGCTCTGTCTCACTGTGGCTCTCTCCAGCCATGTAGTATTACAAGGAACAACACTTGCCCTTGGGAATTTGAACAAAATCAATCCTGATACTGTAAGGGCTGTGTATGTTTGCCAAAGACCTACACATTAGCACCTAAACCCTGTCTTTTTCTACTCGTGCAGCCAATCCTGCTTTTTAACTGGTATAAAACTTTTCTTTTTTTAATCTCATTGATTATGGCTGTACAATGGAACCAAGGCACACTGCTTTATTGTGTCAGCGAGTGTCTCATTTTTCTAAGAAGAGAATTTGTGGCTCCTGGAAAATATAGGTCTTTCAGCAAACTGAGGCTGAGCTTGCTGACACTCTGTTTATGTCCGTATTCTGCTTGTTGCCAGCTTGGGACAGAAAAGAAATACAAGCAAAGTTGTTCAACACAGACAAGGGTTCACTGTGCCCTGTCCTTTCCACTGGACAAACTTTGGAAAGGCTATGAGAGGTAGTAAGCTAATATTAAAATGCAGCAAGAATTAAAGCCAGCCATTGAAATGAACAAGAACGTACCTCTGTGTTGCTGAACACATGGGAAAAAAAAGAGCAATTAGTTAATGTTTCAGTAGTAGAGAGGAGTGCAAGACAGAGAAAGGTAAAATCTCTAAATCAACTATATTTATGAACTATGTTTGTGCTCCATTTATGCTGTTCAGCTTCTTAAGCAATAAGTTTAGCTGAAGGAAATATTTGTGCAAAAGTGCATATAAAAGAAAAGGAATGGAAAATAAATTTTAAAAATGTCAGTGGTTATGTATGCTCTAAGGAAGCTACTACGATGTGGTGCCACAGTAAAACAGCAACTAATCAACACCTCTTAAGCTGCTAATATGAAATCTTTACAGCAAATTGTTCTTCCTGGGGATTTGCACTTCAGTAATTATGTGGTGAAATTTAGCAAAAGCTTTCACTATCAGATAAACTCAAGCCAAATTTGTAGACGGAAGTATGCACAAGTCAAGTTTTTATCTTTTCAGAAAGATGTAATGAGGTGCAAACATCTATAAAACATGTTTGACTTCAAAATCCTTTGAGCTAAAGCTCTGCAAAGTCAAAGGCAGTTAGCTACCTGGTCCAGAGGGCACCTAACACCATGTAATCCCTGTATCTCAGCTCAGATGTAGCCAGAGCAGTATTTCTATCCAGGTACAGATTAGGTGATTCTTGGTTAATGTACATTTATGATTAGAATTTGACCATTTAGAAATGCAAATATAGCTGCTGACAGTGGGAAATAGCAAGAGAAGGAGGGCTAAAAATATCAGCATAATCAAGCTGCAGCCTGGAGTGACTGGATAAGAGAGCATGATGAGGGCTTTCCTTGGGATGTGCTTTCCTGGAGATGTACTTTGGTCCTGCCTGATTACAGGTAAAAATTGGAAAACTATTGCAATTCCTGGAACTTCATTCCTCCCCTGAGACCATTATCTTGTGCCCCAGATAGCTCCTGAGCTATCTTCCTGCAATTCATATTGATTCAGGTGCTTTTTGTTCAGCTAGGAGGAAGAACAAGGCTTATCCACCCAGCCTACAACAACTGATTCTGTCGGTCCTTTTGCTGCTGAGGTAAATTTGTATTGATAAACATTTGCAAATGCCTTCTTACAAACTCCCACAGCAATTCTACTAATAGCTGATGGCTGTCAGAATGGCATCAACAATTAATTCTGCTGAGGACCAAAATGTTTTAATCTAATGCATGTTCTTTTTTGGCTGTAATATGAGTGTATGTAAGAGGAATGCAGTGAGTGGGCCATTCTGGTCAGAACACCTGATCAAGTGTTTCTTCTCAGGTTAAAATATAAGAACTATAATTTTTTCTTACAAAAGAAGGAAAAAAAAGAAGCCATGAAGAATGATGAAGATGCTCCTCTTAATCTAGCAATTTTGTGCATAAGATTTTTATATTTTCATATACGATGGAATTGTCTAAATAAGATACTTGAATTAATTGTTATATTAGATTTAGTTAGACATTGCCCTGTTTATTGGAGATTTCTGTGACTGTGGAGCAGTAACTAAGTTTCTTCCAAGTCCCATCAGTTCCATGGTAATAATGGAGTAGATCAAAAGTGCAAAAGATTGCTTTGCTTTAAAAGTTTACATATGCAACTTGCAAATGAGTTTTGGTGCAAGACTAAGAATTTATTCCATAAATTTAAAGTCTGTAGAAGGCTGGAAAGAATTCACAGGAATCATTTCCTTAAAAGTCGTATTCACTTCCTCTATCACCACTGAAAAGGCACAGGGTTCCCAGCAGCACTGCTATGGGGAGTGATCTCGAGGCAGGTGGGGAGGGCCAGGGTGTTGCCAGAGGGGCTGCAGGTACTGTTCCCAGTGACATGTGCTGTCCCCCAGTGACTTGTCATGAACTGGCACCTCAACCACAGCATATGTGGAGAAACAAAGCATATTTGCTAGTACCTGTTTTCTGAATCTTTGCTTACTGCCAAATATTTTCCAGTGGGTTATGGGGAGACCACATCACAGAGAGGTGCTGCTTCCTAACTCTCACCCACTCATCATCTAAATTAGGTGTTTTATAAATGTTTAATCACCCAAGTGTCAAAGCCTTTCTCTGCCCAGTCATGCTCTCTGGTTATGGAACCCTAAAATGATGGGAATCACAGACTGAGGTTTGTGTGGAGTTAGAAGTGGATGGACAAATTCAGAATCAAGCCTCCTCCATAATGAGAGACTGATAAATCACGTCTGCTTTCCTCTACAATGCAAAGAGGAAAAAAAGCGAAGGGGTGACCTAATTTAGTCATTGAGATGAATGGTGTGATAGAAGAGTGTTCCTAAAAACGCACATAAAATGTAAATCCTTTTTTCCTGTGAGTGCCTGGGCAGCAGTTGACTTCTGTGACTCACTTAAGAGAAATTCCATGGGAAAAAGGTTAGGCTTTCTCTGGGATGAAAAGAACGAGAGTAAATGATATAAACGGTGATTGTAAAGCAAATCCCTGCCTTATATCCCATCTACACTATATGAAAAGCAAACTCAGACAGTAAAATTTTAATTGCTGCAGTAGGTTCCCTGTCTTTGAGAGGTGAACAGCACAGACTCCCAAAAACAGAGCTCAGCTTTAAAGGCCAGCCTGGGAATGCTGATCCTTTTCAGAAGAGAAAAGAAGTGCATCTTGTCAGAGGCTTTTGGCATGCCCACTGAAAACCGTGGACATTTAACCAGTAGCTTTTTCCTCACTCCACTTAGTTGTTGGTTTGATATGGAATAACCTATAGTGGAGTCACAGCCAAAACATCTTCCCCAACTGGCTTCAGGGAGAAGCAGCCAGAGTGGAAAGAGTGTGTGGATGGCCTACGTGCAGTTCAGTTCCAATGCACAGCGTTTGTTTATAGAAGCTTATATTCAGCTACACCATCAGCTGTCTCAAACAGTCCTAGAGCACAGGGAGAATAAAAAGCTGAAATTAGGTTTGAGAACTAGAGGATTGTTTATAGCAATTCAACAGAACAATTGGATATTGATATACAGCAATCTGGGCTGCTTTTGAGCAGCCAAAGGAAGATATGAAGAGCAGGATTAAATGGCCCACTCTTACTAAAACAACAAGAATCTTCATTCTCTCTGATACTGATTTGGAAAAAGACACATGAGGTATCAAGGACAGAAAGAGGCTGCCACTGAGATTTTGCAGAATCCTGGCTTTAGTGGCATATGAGTTTTCTTGAATTTCTCTGATTTAAAGGGGAATTTTTTCTGCCTTTAAATTGTCTTTGTTTTGCTTTGGAAGTTGTGTCATAGTTCTTTCTCTGGCTTTGGTAGCTACTTGGAGCATGGTCCAATTTAAAGATTATATTTTGTTGTGGAAGCAAGTGGTTTCTATTCTTTATATGGGAAAGCTGGGGATGTTATCACTATTACCTCTTGGGGGGTGAACCTTAAAACTGAGTAACGTGAATAGCCTGTGGCAATAATAATACCTCACAACGGCTTTATATAGTGATTTGAGGAGTCCTGATGGCTCAGTAAATATTTAATAACAGTCTCAACATCATCATTCAGATTGCTAGCCTCACACTATCCCAGGTGGTGCTCAGTAGGCTTTTGCAGGCTGTCACCACAATGCTGAGCACAATGTGTCTGACACTCTTCTGGAGTCAAACAATACCATATTTACTAAACTGGTAGCAATCATAAAATCAAATTAATAATAATCTACTAGGATTACTTCATGTTTCCTGCTGAGGAAAAATGTTTACTAAATATTTTTTTTCCTCCAAAAAACTTCCAAAGA